CTTCCCACGTGAATCCTCAACATGCCCCTTCCCATATCACCTACTGCAGTTGCATCTGCTTTGCCATAAGGCTAATAGACCACAGTGACTTTTTAAAAGAACTAGGTGTGTTTGGGAATGAGAGAGCCTATTAGGGAGTAAAGAACAAACATGTTTGTTGAATGTGATTGTTTGAGTCCAACTCTTTCACAATTTGCTTATCTATTTAAAATACTGAATAGTGGTATTATTTAATACAAAAACTAATTTGTGCCATGAGCTGAGAACTCTTGTTAGTGTTTTTTATGACATTGGGAGACCTTGGGACCAAGAAAGACTCTGGCTTTTCTAGAGTCATGAGGCAGATTTAGTCTTGGTCCTATTATATGGGAAATATAATTGGCTAAAGTAAACACATTTATTTTGCTGTTCTAAAGTATTATTAAGATGTATACTAACCCACATGCATGCAATCATCATACAATTTTAAGCCATAAAATATTTACAATGCCATGTCTGAGATAGATGACATATAGTATATTACTCCACAGTTAGTTTAGTAAAGTATAGATACAGAGACTCAGATTGATGCTTTCAAGTGATCGTGTCAGTGTAAACAAACCTTTCCTTAATAATAGTTGTATATTTGGAGGTTTTTTATTTTTCTTCTGAAAAGTGTTTTCTACACACCTTTTAGACAGCAGAGATAATTCTTGACTGTAACACTTTCTGACAGCTATTCAAACATATTCTGTCTTTTTGGCTGTATCTTTTTCTCTACATTCCTGCAGTTCTTTACAGAATATGACTGTCTCATAAAAGGATATTTGTAATAAGAACCTATTTGCTAAATGAATAAAATATTCTTTAAGGTGCATTTCAAAAAGTTCTGAGCAAGTCTCCTACTGTTTTGATGTATCAACGAAAGCACTGCTACATCAATAAATTCTTAGTTCCTGAGACATAACAAGTACTTAGTCGTAGGCATTGCTGAAATTGGAACATGTCAGGAGACCTTCTCTTGTATGACTGAAACTGTGTTTACTTACTTTTATGTTTTGTTAATTTTATCTTTAAATGACATTGTCTTGGTTTTTTTATTATTCCATATTTTTTCTTTTTGTTTCTCTTTCCATAATCTCCATAGTTATCAAATTGGTTTTAGAGATTTTATAGATATTTGTTTACTGAAAATAAATTCATGGCAATGATTTATGAAACTTTCTAACTGTAATCCAGGTACAGTGCTAGGCACTAGAGATAAAATAATGAAGAGCCATAAAAGAAAAGAAAAATGTTTCTGCTACCATGCAGTTCACTATAATGTGGAAGGGACAACATTTAATGTAATTATCAAGCTATACCAATGGGCAATCATTGAACACCTTGATATAAAGAAAAGGTCAGCAAACTTAAAAAAAATAATACCGGATAGTAAATATTTTAGACTTTGTAGATGATGTTGTTTGGCTGTGTCCCCACCCAAATCTCATCTAGAATTGTAGTTCCCATTATTCCCTTGTGTTGTCAGAAGGACCTGGAGGGAGGTAATTGAATCATGGTGGTGTTTACCACCATGCTGCTCTTCTCATGATAGTGAGTTCTTACAAGATTTGATGGTTTTATAAGGGCACTTCTTCTTGCTGCTGTCATGTCAAGAAAGACACGTTTGTTTACCAAGGCCTCCCCAGACATGCTGAACTGTGAATCAATTAAACCTCTTTCCTTTATAAATTACCCAGTCTCAGGTATGTCTTTATTAGCAGCATGAAAACAAGCTAATACAGTAAATTGGTACCAGTAGTGGGGTGTTGCTGTGAAGATACACCAACAGTTGAAAATGTGGAAGCAACTTTGGAACTGGATAACAGGCAGAGGTTGGAACAGTTTGCAGGGGTCAGAAGAAGATAGGAAAATGTGGGAACATTTGGAACTTCTTTTATTTATTTATTTATTTATTTATTTATTTATTTATTTATTATGCTTTAAGTTCTAGGGTACATGTGCATAACGTGCAGGTTTGTTACTTACATATGTCTACATGTGCCATGTTGGTGTGCTGCACCCATCAACTCGTCAGCACCCATCAACTCGTCATTTACATCAGGTATAACTCCCAATGCCATCCCTCCCCTCTCCCCCCTCCCCATGATAGGCCCGGAAGGGGAACATCACACACTGGAACTTCTTATAGACTTAGAGAGGTCACAATCCCAGAAGATGTGGAAAAGTTTGGAACTTCCGAGATAGTTGTTGAATGACTTTGACCAAAATGCTGATAGTGCAATTAGGTCCAGTCTAAGGTGGTCTCAGATGGAAATGAGGAACTTCCTGGAATCTGGAGTAAAAGTTACTGTTGCTATTCAAAGAGACTGGCAGTATTTTGGCCCTGCCCTGGAAATCTGTGGAACGTTGAATTTAAGATAAATTATTTAGGGTATCTGGGGGAAGAAATTTCTAAGCAGTGAAGCATTCAACAGGCAGCAAAACATAAAAGTTTGGAAAATTTTCAGCCTGATATGCAATAGAAAAGAAAAGGCCATTTTCTGGAGAGAAATTCAACTTAGCTGCAAAAGTCTGCATAAGTAGCAAGGAGCCAAATGTTAATCACCAAGACAATGGGAAAAATGTCACCTGGGCAAGTCAGAGTTCTTTAAAAGCAGCTCCTCCCATCACAGGCTCAGAGGCCTAGGAGGGAAAAATGGTTTTGCCTGCCCAGGCCCAGGAGCCCCCTTGCCTTGGGACTCGGTGCCCTGCGTCCCAGCCACTCCAACTGTGGCTAAAAGGGGCCAATGTACAGCTCAGGCCATTGCTTCAGAGGGTGCCAGCCCCAAGCCTTGGCAGCTTCCATGTGATATTAAGCCTGCAAGTACACAGAAGTCAAGAATTGTCATTTGGGAACCTCCGCCTAGTTTTCAGAAGATGTATGGAAATGCCTGGATGTCAAGGCAGAAGTTTCCTACAGGGGTGGGGTGCTCATGGAGAAATTCTGCCAGGGCAGTGCAGAAAGGAAATGTGGAGTTGAGGGTCCCACACAGAGTCCCCATTTGGGCATTGCCTAGTGGAGCTGTGAGAAGAGGGCCACCATTCTCCAGACCCTAGAATGGGAGATCCACTGACGGCTTGCATCACGTGCCTGGAAAAGACACAGACACTCAACACCAGTCTATGAAAGCAGCAGGAGAGGGACTATACCCTGCAAAGCCACAGAGGCAGAGCTGCCCAAGGCCATGGGAACCCACCTTTGGCATCAGCATGACCTGGATGTGAGACACAGAGTCAAAGGAGATCATACATAAAGCAACCTTCTATATCATAGGATCCCACAGCACAAACTATGAATTCAGTGATCTAGCTACATATTGATGCCATTAAAAATTCTACAGAGGAAGGAAACAGAATGTTATTAGTTTACAAAAATAATGTTATAGACCTTGAATCAATAAATTGCATGCTCAGGCATTTGTAGGAGTGAGAATTACCCTGTCACAGTCACCTGAAATCAGAATTATACTTGGTAACTATACAGAGTGTGCAACTGGTAAGCCTAAGTGGCAATGGAACTGACCACCAGGGCATCATCTTCTGAGATACTAAAGATAGCAACATATGAATTTGAATTACAGTATATGTAGTCTATATTTTATGCAGTTTGTTTCCTTTATAAAACTTTATGTTAAGGATGTAGCATATGTATATGTGTGTGTGTGTGTGTGTGTGTGTGAATGGAGCCTATTATACTAAAGGAGAAAGGAATTGCACTTAAACCCTGTAATCTAGTTGGTAAGGTTACTTCACATGGGGTTACAAATTAAAAATTTGGCACAGCTATTCATGTAGACCAGCATTAAACAGATGAGTAAATGGGTGATAAATGATGGTTTGCAGGTTTCTCACTGTTGGGGTCTGAATTACCAATAAGTAAGAAAGCAGGCTAGAAAAGTATATATAGTTATGGATTACAATTGGAGACATCATAATAAACACACATGTAGCATAACATAAATACAGATGCATATAAAATGATTTACAGGTATCTGTATATATTGGTTAGTATACACAAATATAAATGCTTGTTCTTTGTGAGTTTTGTTTGTTTGCTGTTTGTATTTTATTTTATTTTATTTTTATTTTTTTGCATGTCATTATTCATTTAGATGTTTCAGCTCTTGCACTAAGTTTTTACACTGACAAAACTATTTCTCCCACAGAACTATAACCACACATCCCCAGACAGTATAAATACATGGTTCAACTAACATTAATACACATCACCATTTTATCAATTACATAATAAAACAAATTATCAAGTATCCAAATATTAAGTTACACAGCTCAAAAGGCATATAAAATATTAGATGTCTGCTCAATTCATTAGCAGAAACCCACTTCTTTTTTTGCAAGAGAGGCTGGGAAGGTAAAAAAAATTACACTTTCAAACAAAAATAAGTTGGCGAACACACTTCTGATAAGTATGGAAAAACATTACAATAATTTCAGGAAGTTTATGATTACAATAAGAAAGCATCTCTACCTTTTAAAAATGTTTTGCTAAATTAAAGAGCATATTCTACATGTTCTGCACAAGACAAAGGCAACATTTTGCTAAAAATAATTAATAGCCCCCTCCAATTCTTTTCTCGGGCCCGCCTTGTTAAGTTGAACCTCAAAGTGCAAACATTAAATTAATGTAACGCTTTTTTGTCTGAAGACATTAAAGAAATGTGCTTCTGTACAATGTAGATTTTCAAAATGGAGTTTTTTAAAATAATAGCACAAAGTGAGATTTATAGAAACACATTAAATAATCACTGTAAGACTTGGTAAAAAAAAAAAAATCAATGGTTAGGCAAACCTGATGTATACTGGTATGAGTGTGGGAGATGTAAACATAAAGTGAGCAAATAACCATGTAAGCCCTATTTTCAATGTTTGAAATGATTGAAGGAATAAACCACATAAGGTCTAGAGTGTTCATAGTTCCTGGGATTTTAGTTCTGTATGGTACTGAAAATATACAAGTATTTTGCTAGGTATTTTGGCACCTAGTCTTCCTAAATTTCTTATGTATTGATAAGATTCTGGCATGGGAATAGAAACAAGTCATAACTCAATACTGCATGATTTTGGGAAAGGTCAATTGATACAAATGACAAGCACATTTTATATGCTGACAGTGAGAATCTTTTGCCAAGTAACCAAATAGGTTGACTGTAACCCAAATACAGAGGTTGCCAAATCTGTCTAGCTTGTGGCCCTGGTAAAACTGCCTTTCAATACTCCCATGGAAGCTACATTAGACTTACGCACTAACCCAACATGTTGGCTAATATGTATAACAAATTAGGCCCTATCTCAAGTTCCACTTCCAATAGCACTAGGTACTCCAATTTTATTGAATGCAACAGTTGTTTCTATGACCATTGGAATCTTTGAAACGCAGCCGCATTTTAGGACGATACTTCTCCAAATACAAAAGTTGCTTGCTGTTAAAAGCTCCATGCTGCTTTTGTCTTATGAATTGTACTGCATCTTCATATTTCATTCCACCTTCAATTAATGCTAGGGCAACAAGTACTGGAGCTCTCCCAAGGCCTGCCACACAGTGAACAGCAATACAACAACCAGGTTCTTCACGAAACTTAATTTTTACAAGGCTTAACCAGTCATCAACAATCTGGTTGGATGGTGGTGCACCATCATCAAAAGGTCAATCAAGAACATGGATACCTTCTTTCTCCACAAGAGTGATGTCATAAGTTGCTTCACATACTCTTACTATTGTGGTAACGCCATACTTCTTAAGCTCCTCTATAAATTTGTTTAAGGTCACATTGGTTGGATTGTGTGTAATAAGAAATCTTATGTTCTTGTATGTGACTTCCACAGGAGCTGGGCGGTTCATTCCAGCCATGTTAATTTAGTTAAAAAATACTCAATAGGGTTATGAAATAATTTTTTAAAAATTGGAATACAGAAATGATGCAAAGAAACTGAAGTCTACTTCAACATACTCCACTGAAACTCTCAGTGCTTGAGTATGAAGTTGTAAGTAATGATAAATGAAATGAACCTCCTAACAAGCAGCAGCAATTCTTTAATCCAGTAATACTGAGGCCACCAGAAAAGAAGTGCACTGAGGTTTACCCCATCCAGGTCAGAACTCTTGTAAAATGCTCTGTGGATTTCAATTCAACCCTTCTATGTCCAGGATAACCACTCTTATGTGGGCTTCTTGATGGAGTATTAATCAGTTTCTACAGTTCACTTGTCTGCATAGAGGTCGTGCTGTGCCTGGCAGTAATCTCCACTGCCCTTCAGAAACTCCATAAATGTGTGACCAAGAACACCACAGCATTGAGCAATATGTTTACTCATTGAAGATTGTGGCCTAATCATACAACCGGTCCCGAGGCGGCGTCAACACAGGCGGTGGTGGCGGCTGCAGGGCAGGAGGCAGCGGTGGTCATGGCGGAGTGGCGGTGGCGGCGTTGCAGGAGGCGGCAGGGGCACCAGACCTGTATTTTATTTTTATTTTTTTATAAGAATGCAGGTAATTCCTTCTTCCTGCCTATCTTTCAGAGCACCTGTGACATTTACTAATTTAGAAAAAAATGCAGAACCTATTTAACACTGTGATGAGACGAGTTATATAATGCATGAAAATAATGTTTTATTTTCAGGCTGTTCATAAAGTGGTTTTACCTTTTACAACTTCCTTGTAAATTGATTAAAGGATCTTAGTCAAATATTTATAAATAGGAGAACTTAAGCGCTCTTCTTAAGCCACTGTAGTTTGGAATTTAAGCAGAGATACAATGATTGGTTTCAGGCCTATTCCAGAATTTGTTGATGCGTGGCAATATTTTAAAGGACAGTACCATCATTCCCTGGGTAGCGTGTGAAAAGAACCAGCATCTTTGCTCTTCCTCTAGTTTTCTCTCGTTTCTTTATAAAAACAATCTAAAATAGAAGATATTTTATCAAATGGTATCACGAGGTGCAGCATTTAGCCAATAAGTCACTGTTCTAATTTGTGAGACATATATTTGTGCTAAAGTCATGTAACCATCAAGGAAGGGAAAAACCTAAAAATGAGAAGGAAGAAAACTAAGGGTAGTATTTACCTGAATGAATACAGAAGCATTAAAGGAAGAGAGACTATGCTGTACTCTAAAATAATGTCTCCAAAAAATGGAAAACTTTCAAAGGAGAATATGGATATTTTTCCTTTAGCATAAACTAGCATAGCATTCTTAATTAGTTTGAAGAATTATTTCTTCAAATAAATTGCTATTCAAATTAAAAATAGCTGCAATACATGCACCTATTAAAAGTTAAGAGAAATAGTGTAAAATAATCAGGTATCAGACTGGTTTCCAACCCGATTTCACCACTAACCAGCTGTAACCTCATCGATCATAGAGTGTGATAATTGTTGTCTTAGATCATCTTTTGAGCATGTTGTGTGTATATGTGCCCAAAGGATCCAACATTGTTTTTGAGGTCTTCCTTTGTAGGGTTTCCCACAGGCCAGAACACGGAGCCCGAGTTAAAAGCCAGGTAGAGGTGTCCAGTCATTGGGAATGAGATGGCAGAGTAAAGCCCCTTCCCAACTCCGATACATCGACCCTCCAGGAGTCCGGGGTCGACCGTCCCCGCGGGCAGGGTGCGCGGACTCAGCGGGGGGGACCCGCGGCTGAGGGGGCGCAGAGTAGGCAGCGGGGAGAGGCAGAGGCAGCCCCTGCGAGGCCGAGGAGAGGTCGCCGACTGCGCCTCCAGTGCCCGGAACCCTGGCAGCGCCCGCCCCTCTTCCCGCGTCGCCCGCCAGCGCCCGCGCCCGCTCAGCCAGTGACTTCAGCTCAGCTCCACCTCCGCGCGGTGGCGGCTGGCTCCGTCCAGACCCGCGCTTGGCACAAACCCAGCCCGGGCGAGAGGCCGCCACCTGCCTGGAGCCACCTCCGCCTGCCCCCACCTCCGCCTGCCCCCACCACGGCCCAGCTTGGATGGAGCTGGGGTCCTGAGCGCCAGCCCCCGACACCCTGCAGCGCAGAGCCGTGCGCAGCTAGCTACCTTGCGTCTGGGACCCCTCTCTCCGCTGCTCTCCGCCCCCGCGATGGGAAAAGTGGGCGCCGGCGGCGGCTTCCCAACCCAGCTGAGCCCTAAGTTCTGGATTCTAGCGGGAGATGTGGGCGCAGCCACCGCGACCAGGTGCAGGAGCGGAGGCCACTTCGCACAGAATCAGCCACTGTCCAATGGTCTGGCCCGCACAGCAGGCGTTGTGAGGTTCCCATGTGACTGGGGATAAGGGGAATGTTCCGAAGCCTGTTGGTTGGTCTGTTGCAATGTGGGGGCGGGTGGGGCTTCAGGACTGGGAAGCGCTGCGCGCCTTCCGTCACCTGCTGAGGGATCTGGCTTCACCATTTCATGCTGCACACCAGACCACTGAATAGTTTTCTCCAAATCTCTATTTCCCAACTCCTTGGCCACCATGTGTGAAGCTGAAGATCACACCAAAAGGGGAAGGGGTTAAAATATAGTATCTGGGGTTCAACGATTAAAAAGTTTACATTTACAGGTAATCTGCAATACATGCCCTTAGTGTATTCCTTGTGGAGTTTTTTGTTTGTTTTCCTTCTTCTTCTTCTTCTTCTTTTTTTTTTTTTTAAAGAACTTGTCTGTGTATTTCCGGACAGGGCACTCCAGCACTCCAGCATCTTCTAAAAGACCCAGTGTAGGAAGTGATGTGTGTGTGTGTGTGTGTGTGTGTGTGTGTGTGTACTGTGAGCAGTCCTAGGTAGGTCAGATATCCCAGTACAACTACACCTTCCATCCACGCCCCCATCACGCCCCTATTGCAAGAAGAAAAATAAACTCTTAGCCTTTCCTTTATGGAGGGAGGGAAGAAATTACTGGATTACAGGAGGCCGATACTGGAGTTTGAGGCTGGGATTCTGCTGAGAACAAAGCAGATAGTTAAAAGTGAACGCTGATAATTTGGGCTCTTACCAGGAAAGTTTTCGGATTTCTAGAAAATTCTGTATGTCTGGAATTTGAGGGAGGTGTTTTGTTTGTTTGTTTTGTGTGTGTGTGTGGTTTTTTTTTTTTTTTTTTTTTTTTAGTTTAAGCTAAACTTAGAAATCAACTTGCCCTCAAAATAAGGCAACAGCTTGGATGGCAGTAGCTCAAGACCATTTATTTTCAAATGTGAAAAGGTCTCCAGATTGTCATAAAGCAGGCAAGAGACCATAAAAAGTAAGGGTGGATAAAAATAAAATGAAATAAAAGTTGGAAACTCAGTTAAGAAACTGAGAATTTTATTGTTTGTCGTATGCGATGGTTATCCAGCCTAGTAGTTTTCACGATGTTTGTATATGACGTTTAATTTCCAGAAACTTTCCAGGAGAGATACACATTATCATGTTGTACTTGTTTCTAGATCTTTAATAATAGCAGTCATGGACATTCAAAATTAATAGTTTGCATTTTATGAATATTCTTGGTACACAGATATAGATTTCATTATGCCAAATCATGATAAGGCATTTAGTATTGAAGTTTATTTCATAAGAATGTGCCCAGGGTTTCCCCTAATATTCAGCCTTCATTACATGGGCTCTGATTTTATAGCGGTTAACTCCAGAGTAATAAAATAAATGAAGTAAAAATTACTTTCCTTTGGACACTGAAGACTTTGCCCTCACTTCCTCCTACCTTACTTAGTTGAGTTTTCAGATTGTAGCCACCATAATTAATCCTGCAATTTGAATTTAAATATTATTGAACTGATTGAATAACTTTCTACTTTAAATAACTTAACGTTTCTAACTTTAAAGGAGGGTTTTCGAAAGAAGCATGTAGTTACCAGACTATGAAGCAAATAACTTATGAATGATATTGTTTATGCTGTAAAATATGAATTGTACATTAAACCTCTTTCATCTAGTTTACTTCTTGAAAGAGTGAGAAGAGTATATCTTTGTCTAACCAGTAACACCAATTAAGAACTGTCTAAAATAACTTCTACCCTCCTTGCCTATCCATGGTTGCTTATAAGTGTAATGGAGCTTATGGGGTTACACCTTAGAGACTGGCTGGCACAGAATTCTAGAATAATGCAGTAAATATTGAGGTGGTGATTGCTAAACATTTGAGTACCCTAACGTATTTCACTCTACATTGTACCCAACATAGACACAAACAGGTTACTTTTTCAGTATTTACATATAGATTGAGGGTGGAGAAAAATAGTTATTGCCCAAGTCTTCAAAAACAAAGGTATTCAATTTCCCCAGCCCTCTTTTTCTGGTCTGGTTTCATAGGAAATTACGTATCACATATACATTATGTGTGTGTATTTTATTTTAATGAGTGAGTGTTTATAAAACTTCTTTGATGAAGGTTAACAGACGTTTCTCATTGGCAATGATTTATGAGAAATTGTTATCTAAAGGAGCCATCTCCAATTTTTTTTCTTTGACTCGTCTTAATGTTATTATATTTTTAGTGCTATCTATATGAAAAAGCACAGCTCTTGGATCATTTTCCATGAAGCTTCTTTTTTTGAGTTGACATCCATCAGCTCACTGTTCCTGTTAAACTAGAGGTTCAACCTGGGCCAGCTTTAAGAATTTGTTTTAATCTTTTAAAACAAGTAGCTGAAAAATTAAATTATCTCATTTCAGCTATTTTATGGAGTAGGCATTATAATTCTCATTATATGGAAGAGAGAGCCGACGTTTAGAAAACCTGTGATGTGGCCAAGGAAATTGACTTGGTCTGTTCAGGCTGCTAGAACAACATACTCTCAACTGAGTAACTTAAAAACAACAGAACTTTATTTCTGCTAGTTCTGGATGTGGGAAAGTCCAAGATCAAGGCACTGGCAGATTCTGTCTCTGGTGAGGGCCCATTTCCTGGTTTGTAGACAGCCATCTTTCCTCTGTGTCCTCACATCGTAGAAAGGGGTATAACAGCTCTCTGGGGCTTGTTTTCTAAAAGCACTAATCCCACCATGAGTGCTCTGACTTTAGGGCCTCAGCATCTCCCAAAGTCTCCCCAGTCCCCAATATCCTCACCTTGGTGACTAGGTTTCAACCTATGAATCTGAGAGGGACACAAACATTCAGACCAGAGGAGGTAAAGAGCAGAGCACTGGCTAGGACTGTACTACACACCTATCAGAACAGCCAAAACCCCAAACACTGTCAATTTCCAAATGCTAGCAAAGGTGTGGTATGGCCAAAACTGGTGGGAATGCAAAATGGTAGAGTCATTTTGCAAGACAGATTGGAAGTTTCTTATGAACTAAAGATACTCTTACTGTAAGATCCAGCAGTCATACCAATGAAACATTTATGTAAATGAGCTGAAAACATGTATGCACATAAAACCTTATTTTATTTTCTTGAGATGGAGTTTCGCTCTTATTGCCCAGGCTGGAGTGCAATGGCGCAATCTCGGCTCACCGCAACCTCCGCCTCCCAGGTTCAAGCGATTCTCCTGTCTCAGC